CTACGTACGTACTACGTAGTAGAGAGAGAGAGAGTACGTACGTACTACTACCTACCTAACCTAACCTACTACAGAGAGAGAGAGACGACACGTACTACCTACTACAACGAAGGAGAGAGAGAGAGAGAGAGAGAGAGAGAGGGAGTAGGGATTGTCCAGAAACTTCTTTGCTAAATTTATTCTGATTCAGATTTAAGAATAATAACCTGAGAATGTAGCAGCTAATCCAATGGGAGTCTATTAAGAAGCATGTAGCCTTTTTTGAGAACTCAAACTTGCTTCAAACACCATTGCTTTTAGTTGTCTTAATTGTTTTCTTTTTTCATTGAAACAATGGTGGTCAGATTATCTTGGACTTGCTCATATTCGATTAGATCACACCAAATATTTACTCTCTCTCTCTCTCTGCTCATATTTGATTAAATCACACCAAATATTTATCCCCTCTCTCTCTTTTTGTTCTTCTCCATTCAAGCTACTACGGCGACCACATTTCTATTTGGTTCCCATACACTCAAATGTTTATAAATATGGGTGCGGTTTGCATAGGCCGAGGCCCTAAACAATCAAAGTAAAGCGCATCTCATTTTGAAATACTGTTGAAAGATGTTCTTTCAGTATTGGGAATCTTTATGATGGCCTGAATATTTGTTTTCAGCCCCAACAATAAAATTGAAAGCTTTAAAAATAGTGTAGATCAAGCAAATCTATGAATGCTTATTAATCTTGAAAATTGATGTTCCAGAAATAACATTACAAGATACACTATATTCAAAATTCGAAATCTATTTTATTTCATGCTCATACATTTTGAGGTTTAGACGATGGATTTGAGGATTTTTGGGCATCAAAACGACCTCTTGTAGTGAATTTTTGAAGGGCCTCACCTTTTTATAAATTGTTTACCTTTTTATTTTATACCCAAGTCCCTTCCTATTCTTTTGTATTTCCAAATTGCATCCAACTTCGAATTTCAAGTTCAGATCCATAATTTTTTCTTGTACTTTAAGATGAAAAAAGCTGTATGGAAGTTTAAGTTTTGAGCGAAACATCGGTTTAAATTTCCAAACCCACCAGTTCACCCAAAAGGAAAGCATGGTAGAGACTATTCAGAACTTTGAGCCCTGAACCTACAATTTCAGAAAAAGGAATACAAGTCCTGGTTGAGCACTCCAATGCCCAAAATTGGCACACCTACGTTTTAAATGAATCTATGTCGCACTGTCTAAGTTTGGAACTCATGTTTCACTCAAAGATTGTTCCACATATGAAAATTTAAACAAAATTTGGATCGAAACTTGGAGTTAGATGCGTAAGTAATTGGACAAAATAAAAAGTTGAAAAAATAGGACTTGCATGGAATATGAAAAGTACTTGAATTTTTTTTAATATCTAGATATGAAGAGATTTTTAGTAAATTTCCAAGATTTTTATTCAACAAATTTTCTATTGAAAATGTATGTGATGAGACTATTTGCTTTTGCTATAAGGAGGTTAAAGATGATTAACTATTGTTAAGATGTTAAATTTGATAATTGAGGATGTATCATTAGTTGGGCACAAAGTCCAAAATGATTTTTTTAATTTTTCGAATTCTGGTATGCTATTTTTGTTTTGTGAATGAACATACTTTCAATAAAGTTATAAAACCTTATAGTTTTTTTTCGTTACTTTCAAATATGTCTTTTGGGTTTTTTGTCATTTTCAAACTTTTTATTTGAACCAACTTACCTCTTCACAAATGTTATACACATTATCGGTTCATGTAAATCAACTTTCTTTTACTTGGTCGCTTATTGGTGTCACGCTTTGTGTATAAAAAAATAAACCGGTCATAAAGTATACAATTCATTTTCTATTTCTCCATTTTCTAAGTATACGGTTTTTCTCTCTTATCTTCATCCAAAAAAAAATAAAAATGGAGGGCCACTAATTCGGAGCCTATGCATCTAAGAAAGCTTAATGCCCCTTAAAACCCCTCGATAAGAGAGCCATGAAGCTAGAGGAGGGATGGGCCCACGTGTAGGCGATGAATCAGACAAATAGACGTCTTACGTGGCACCAATTGTACACGTGGCGATCATCGGGACCCTTATTTGCTGGGTCCCGGTGTCCCCTAGTCCGCCCCTGCTTCCCCCACCGCATACACAACGCGCGCGGTCAAAGGGCCGCCCCGGTCGTCCCGTAAAAAGCTTCCACTTGCTCATTATTCTCTCCCCCTCTCTCTCTCTCTGCTTTTCACTCTCTCTCTCTCTCTCTACTTTTTCTACTCTCTCTCTCTCTCTAGTTTTCCATGCTCTCTCTATCTCTACTTGTGGCCCTTTACTTTATTATTGGTGTTATTGTTTTATAAGGGTGTTGGGTGTAGTGCAAGTCCGTCTCCTTATGCCTCGGCGCCCTTTTTTCTATTTCTGCACTCTAAATACGGATTTTGGACTCCTAGCTCAAACCCCACTGGCCTTTTTCTCTCTCTAAAACAAGGTTTCTCTCTCTCTCTAGCATGACTGAGGCCCTTTCTTTCTCTGTTACGGTGATCTTCGCCTTATACATAGCTTAGCTCCTGTCTCTCTCAGTTCATTCTTGGGTTTTGCTAAGGAATCTGAACTAATCTCTCTCTACAGTTCTCATCTCTCTCTCTCTCTAGATTATGGAGTATCAGGGTTTCAGTTCAGATCCATCTCTTGTTGCTTAGGAATCTGAGCTCTTACGCTCCCGTACTCAGCTCAATCTCTCTCACTCTCTATCGCTTTCTCTCGCTAACGAGCTTGGGCAGTTGTTCCATTCTTCTCTCTCTACTTGGTTTTTTTCACTGAGCTCGAACTTTCACTGCCTTCCACTTCGGTTTTAGCTCCTCTCTCTCTCTCTACCAACTTGGGTTCAGCTCAAGTCTCTCTTTCTCTCTCTAAAATAAAGAAGGAGAACCAAAAGCACACCCCAAAATGGATTGCTCAAATAATTGGCTGGCATTTTCTCTCTCTTCGAATCCCCCTCATCAGACCCCTCCCGAACCTTCCCCTCAACTCTGCCTCCTTGAAGCCTTCAACACAAGCGGTAACACCTCTCACTCTCTACTTTTCTCTATCGTATCCACTTTCAAGTTTATCCCAGGAGAATAAAAGGAAAAGGATTTTAATGGAGTTCTTTTGCAGGTTGGCCGAAAGATAATACACACAGAGAAGAAGGGAGCGGTGGTGGTGATCTATCCATGATAGCATCAGCTGCACCACCAAAACTGGAGGACTTCCTCGGTGGCGCTTTCTCAGGCCATTATTCTGGCGACTTCTCCGGCAACCACGCCAGAAAACCGAACACCAACTACGATTCCGATCTGAAATCCATAGCTCAAGGTGTCCTCCAAGTATTTCCCACCAGTCAATCGGAAGTTGAAAAGTCCATTTTGGCTTCTGATTCTTCTACAAAGAAATCAATCGACACATTTGGCCAAAGAACTTCGATCTACAGAGGAGTTACAAGGTTTCATAACTAAAAAATCGTAATTGATTTGATTGGTTTTTTTCTTGCCATTTTTTGTTGGGTTTTTTTCTAAGTTTTTGTTATTATTATTATTATTATTGGTGCTATGATTGGGTTGGAGGAATTTTTTTTTTGTTATTTTTCTGATGATTTTTTTTGTCTTCCTTTAAAAAAAAATTGATTTAGGCATAGATGGACTGGGAGATATGAAGCACATCTATGGGATAACAGTTGCAGAAGAGAAGGACAATCACGGAAGGGGAGACAAGGTATCATAAGGCCTCCGATCTGAGAAAATCCATTCAAATGGTTTCAGCACAGTCTTGACATTATCATTACATGACCACACGTTTTTCTCTCTCTAGCTTTCTAGATCTAAACCATTCCTTCTCTTTCTATCTCTCTCTCTCTCTCTCACACAAGATTGGTAATCAAGCACCTAGATTGGCTTCTAATGGTTTCTGTTATTTGTGCTGCACGGACTGGGGTTGAATGAAATGATTGGCTTTGACTGGAAAAACCCATCATTTTTGCAGTGTATTTAGGTTAGTTTCGTTCTTATTTTTTCTTATTGTTGTTTTATTTACTCTTTTGCTCATTCATCTCAAAAAAATAAAACCAATGTTTAATTTATCAAACATGGTTTTGTTTCAAATTTTCAGGGGGTTACGACAAGGAAGAGAAAGCAGCAAGAGCCTATGATCTAGCTGCTCTAAAATACTGGGGTCCAAGCACCACAACCAATTTTCCGGTAAATATTATTTATAGATAAAAATAAGAAAATAAAACTTTCACATAAGGGAAATTTTTTTTATATTTTCTGGAATACCTCGGATCGAGACTGAGAGTCATGATCACTTTGATTCCTTACAATCAGCTCTAGGCTGTTTTTGACTCCTTGCATTGATCAGTTAAGAACTCTTAATTTTGGGACGGATTATCTATTATTAGTTCCAGACCGCTTTGATTCTTTAACTTAGTCCAGAACTCAGGTATTTTGAAAAAAATGAAAAATATTTTTTAAAAATATAAGCTTAGAATATGCAAAGGACCCGGTTTCTATGCGGCCAAGCGCACATATGTAGAAATGTGGGCTTTTAAATAAATCTATTTTTGAGATGGATTTTAATACTTAATTTTTAACGAAATGTAATCTCCAATATAGAGATCATGAATATGAAAAAAAAAAAAATTTTAAAAACTAAAAATAATAATTTTAGTAAAAAAACATTTAGACCCTTAGTTTCCACGGCTTGCATCCATCTCTAGGATGGATGCTTTACACTTTCTGGAGCTAATATGTAGAAATGGGGTCCAGCATGCATGAAACCATTTTCCATATAGAAATATGGAAAATTTCCAAATAACTGTAACTATAAAGGGTATTAGTGAAAATTTTCCTTATTATTTTAACTAAATATTCTAAAGTATTTGGACTGAAAATTTATTCCGGAATCGGGCTAGTTTAGTGTCTGGTACTTATTTTCAGTTTATTTATTGCCTTGATACTTTTGTACTATAAAAATATTGGAAAAGTACACTGACTAAATGTTGCTCTAATTTTGTTCAGGTGTCCAACTATGAGAAAGAGCTGGAGGAGATGAAGAATATGACCAGACAAGAATTTGTTGCGTCTCTAAGAAGGTAAATTTAAAGAGAATATTGTGGCTCCTTATTGCTTTTTCTTATTTTTGGGGAGAAGCAGAAAATTTCTATTCAAGATGTAATATTTAGATGGATTTTTCTGAGAAATTTATTTATTTATTGACAGGAAAAGCAGTGGGTTTTCGAGAGGTGCTTCAATTTACAGAGGGGTTACAAGGTAAGATCCTTTGTTATTATTGTGAGTAAAATGATTAATTCATTATTATTACCTAAGTAATTATCATCATTATTGTTGGTAATAATAATAATAATAATTGTAATAGTGCAATGATAATAATAGTTGGTTATTGTCATTGTTATATTTGGTTTTGTAAGGTATTTTGAAATAATAAGGAGATCATAAAAACAAGTTTTCGAGAAATTATCATGTTTTTCAAGAAATTAAGACAAGAAAAAAAAAGTTTGTGTATGTATTTCTTGTCTCTCCCTCTTAATATTTGCATTAACTCATTATTTAGTACATAAAACTTTCAGGCACCATCAGCATGGGCGATGGCAAGCAAGAATAGGGAGAGTTGCAGGGAACAAAGATCTTTACTTGGGAACTTTCAGTAAGCTAATTTCCTGTACTCTCTCTCTCTCTCTCTCTCCTTTTTCTTGGGTTATTGTCTTCTCTCTCTCCACGCACCCAATAGCCCATTTTCAACTCTCTTCCTCTCTCTATTAACCAATTTTCAACTGTTGGATTCTCTCTCTTAACTCATTTTGAACTGTTGTCTCTGTCTGGGTGCTCTCTCTCTCTAAACTCTTTTTCAAATGTTGGGTTCTTTTGAATAGGTACACAAGAGGAAGCAGCCGAAGCCTACGACATAGCAGCCATAAAATTCAGAGGCCTCAACGCTGTAACCAACTTCGACATGAGCCGATACGATGTAAAGAGCATAGCAAACAGTAATCTCCCCATCGGTGGAATCACTAACAAAACCAAGGCTTCCTCTGAATCAAGTTCTTCAGACATCAAAACCCTTGAAACCAAGCTCACAGACGAGCAGGAGCTGAGCTCTCTGAGCCCACAATCTGAGCCGATAAGCTTCGCCATTCCCATCAAACTCGACCACGACTGGTCTCTCATGGGCTATCAAAACCCTAGCAGAATAGAGCCTTTCCATAACGTCTCTTCTATGACTTCCTCCGCCATTAATGAGGCTCCCTTGACAATGGATTTCTCCACGAATTCCTCGACTTATCAGAGCAACAACTGCTTCATCAATGGCGGGTTCACGGCCCAACAGAGCTTGCCAAGCGTGACTTCGATCGATTCCGAGAATGGGAAGGCTCTGTATTATTTGTATCAAAATCCGTCAAGTTTGTATAGATCAAGCGCGTGCGAGAATGCTGGTTATGGAGCATGGGTTGCACCGCCGTTGCCGGCTTTTCCGAGCTCGAAGACGCCGGGCCTTGCTCTTTGCCAAACCCCCATTTTCGGAATGGAGTAGGGGGAATGTGAGTTTCGAGGGTTCTACCGATCTTTGTTAACAAGAAATATCCATCTTACAGGCTTGTTTCCTAGCTGATTCACTCTTCTGCTGACGAAATGTTTTTTGTTTATCACAAATGAAACGTTTAACTTTCACCAGATGTTGAGTTGTTCTTCCTTTTTTTTTTCTCGGTCACTGAATTTTGATATCATTCTAGAGAGAGAGAGAGACGGGGACTTACTCTTCACACACACACAGACGGGGGCCTACTTTTTCTCATGCAATTATATGTTAAGAACGTGACAAAACCTTTGTAAAGAGAGACATCATATGTTTAAGAGAGGCATTCTTCATGACATCTTTAGGAAAAGAGAGAAATAAGATTAAGAAAACAAAATTTGGTTAATTTATTCAGAGATAAGAGACAGGGAGAATTTTACGATACATGAAGAATTTTACAAAATTCTAAGTATTGTGAAGAATAACAAGTTATGAGAGAGTTTGATGCAGTATTAAAAAAAATCAACGCGGTCAAAGAACTCAGGAAGTGGTCGAGACGAGTTATTTAAGTGAGTCTCAGGAAGTGGTCGAAACGAGTTATTTAAGTGAGTCTCAGTATCTCATCGGAGTTTAGATTTTTTTTTTTTAACAAGAAATAAATTAATAGTTTTATATAGTATAAGTGTTTATTTTATCAACAAAGTAGAAAAGTTTGTGTCGATTGGTGCGCCTCTTTGTAATTTGTTTTGAACTCTGGTATGAATATGCAGTAATATTATACTTAAATTTAAAAAACATTCCGTACATAAACTCACCCAAAGCTTTATATCGAGTTGGTTTGCCGAGTCCGTTTGCCTCGGCCAGGTTTTATAATGGCACTGTTCTCACGGTATCTTAAGAAATCGACGAAATTCAAGAGTCATGTTACAAAAAATGAGAGAGAGAGAGAGTCATGATATTTAACAACTTGGCCAAATCTGTTGAGACTCAAGAGAGAGTCAGGAAACGCTGAACCACCAAAATCAAGAGAAATATGGAGAGTCACAAAACGTTAAAAACTTAAACAGACAAAATCGAGAGATACCGAGAAATGTTCAAAAAAGAGAGAGAGAGAGAGAGAGAGAGAGAAAACATTCGATCTCATCATGATCCACGAAGTAGAGAGAGAGGGGTATAACATTCCTTTTCATGATTACACGTGATCTGCATCTCCCATCTAAATACACGGACGGTCTAGATCCGCAACCACTAATCATCTAATCCATGCCGTACGTTATCTCCTTCCGAATATCTGACCGCCCATTGACCGAGGCACGTGAGCTCGTTTTACACTCTTAAATGAGATGTCCACAAACTCATTATTTACGTTTAAAGTGAAGGAATCCAAGGCCCCACATTGTCATTGCCATGAGGGATCAACCTGAACCGTCCAGATTGGAGATGGATAAGCAGTAACGCCCACGTGGATCCTCCGTGAGGGCACACGTGCGGTCAAGATCTGCATGCATGCAGGCGCACGTGGTACTGAACCGGGGCGACTATGCACGTGCACATAGTAGAATGGTGCTAGATTTTAATAATTATTAAGTTATGAAAACCTGTCTGGGTAAGGATTCGTTAGTGCAAATAGAGCAAGAAATAATATTTTATATGCGATTCGATTCTTTCGCCATTCATTTCTTAGAAATTACAAAGTTACCCGTAGTTTGTATAGTAGTGCACATTTATTTTCAAGAGAGAGAGACTGCTTATATTTTAGAGAGAGAAACTGCATATATTTTTGTTTGAACTTTGAAGCCTAGCAATAGCGCTTGTATTTTTTTTTTTTTGAATCACTCGGATATTGAGCCCTGTTTTATTAAAGAATCAAAATAAATATTGCATCAAGAGTTTTTAAACCGCTCATAGCAAGGGAACACTAACAACATTAGATAGAATGAAACGCATTACAAAACCAGGGAGGCGAACATGCCACACCGTCACTTCATTCATAAAACTGTAGCTTTGGCCAAAGTATCTGTATCTATATTGGCCTCCCAATAAACGTGTTGGACTTTTTATGAGCGAAAGATACAAGCTTAGATATACTATCTGACAAAATTAAAAGCAATATCCAAAAAAGCCTGCAAAGATAACTCATTGATCAGTAAGAAGCTTGAAGTCACTTTCTATGATGAGAGACACATTTCAACAAAAAGTAGAGTGAAAGAGTGAAGGGGGAGTGAGTGAGTGCTTATATTTTTGTAAGAAGCCTTGCAATACTGCCTATATTTACATTCAAGAAAAAATTGAGCTAGAGAGACCATAGTTGGATAAAATAGAGAGAGAGAGAGCATAGTAGATGATAAACCATAGTAGATGATAACTCTAAATCAGACCATAGTAGATGATAACTCCGTAGTACCCATCCTTAGAAACTATGAGCTGGGTAACACACACAGAGCAAGGCCGTGAGAGAGACCACTTTAGACAGAAGTGATGATTAAAGTGTTGTTTGTTTTCCGCAGTATTTGACCTGACTTAGTCATGGACCAGTTACTTAGTTGCAACCTAATTATAAATGGAGAGAGTGTGCCATAAATTGAGATTATATCTGAAAAAGAGTTGGCAAAAGCTGGGAAACAGTAGTTGTCAAAAGATAAAAGACTGGATTGGACCCCAAAAAGCTAACTGCATTTCCAGGGATTAAACTGAATTTCAAAAATAAAGTTGTTATTTCTACATAATGTTTTCACGTTTTATTGAAAAGTTGTCAAAAGTTGCAACTCGTCGTCTCTACAATTTCAAGAGTTTTAGCAGTTGTCCCTTTCACTGGTGATTTTGATGATGTTTAAAGCGTTTTTATTCTCGTTCTTTTTCTTTTCTTTTTTTTATACTTAAGCTAATGTCTTTTTCTCTCTCTCCTCAAACCATCTCAAAAACCTGGGTTTATTTCGGATCCGGATCTGCAAGGTAAACTGGCCATTTGGGAAATCGGTAGAGGTTGGTGAATCGCCCATTCGGATCGATGACCCAGCTTCGAAAATCAGTCAAAAAATAAAAAATACACAAAATTAAAAAAAAATAAAATCTTAAAATAAAAGTAGGGCCAAATCTGCTAGTGCCTCGAACAATTTGGCCTCTAGCTAGAATTGCTCGAATCCTGATATATTGAAGTAGCCACCTGGGTCCCTCTCAAAACTGACACAGATAGGGAGATTTCAATTTGGATGTTTTTTAAGATATTGGTTGTGTACACACTTTTGAATATTTAGCCACTAATTATATTGGTATATTATTTTAAATGCAGTTTTTATATAGGCTTTGTGAAAACAAAGTAAAACCTCACCTCGAATCCTCATCCACATACCACTTTGGACATCAAAAATCACAATAATAGTTGTCAATCAATTTCAAATCATTTTTTTTTTTTTTGTTGGGAAAATATAGAATGAAACCATTTGCTTTTTATATTCGCCACAATAATCTTGATCATGTGATAGAAAGTTGGGTGGCTGCAATTAGTCTATTGACCAAGCTCAAATTTCAAAAGAAATTTTTTCGAATTTTATAACACATCAAAGCTATCAAATTTCGCATCAAAAGTTGTAAGGAATTGTGACCACCTTATATAAAAAATAAATGATATCATTGGATACAATTTTTTTTTTTTTTTTCTACAACCACATGGTCGAAGTTGAGAGGATCCATTCGAAGGTTTTCCAACACTAACTGCATATTGGAGTGAGATTAAAGTTAAGAAGTTACTTATTTTGATAAGACTGCAGCCCTATAAAAATATTTCTCAAATATTTTTATGTTTGTTATGATATTTTATGATTTTTTTACTTATTCTATTTTCTCTTTTTTTTTTTACTTTAAAAACTACGTGTCGATTTTTCCTCATGTTCTGTTTTCCATATACTTTTTGGTCATCTTTACTTTTTCTTTTTGTTTCTAATGATCTTTATTTGTATTTATTGTACAACCTTTTGCCTTTTTTGAAGTATCATGACTCGGGCGAGTCCAGTTGAGGTAATCGACTCGGGCAGACCCAGAGCAAAGCTTTTTAATATTAAGGGTGTGTGAGAAATAATTATACACTTTGGGAGAGAGAGAGAGAGAGAGAGAACAGCTTGCGTTTTGAACTATGTGAGAGAGAGAGAGAGAGAGAACAGCTTGCGTTTTGAACTATGTGCGTCACGACAGAGAGAGAGAGAGAGCAGCTTGCATTTTGAAGTTTGTGCGAGAGATATACTCTTTAAACATAGAGCTTCAGTTTTCAGAGAGAGAGAGAGAGAGAGAGAGAGAGAGAGGGAGTTATTGTTAAAAGTTTGCAAACTGGTGGCAATCCCCTAAAGTCTAAAATGCTAGAAAAAACGAGCATTTACCCCATTAATTATTAGAAGCATTCATCTGCCCAGCACTAAAACACCTATTTTTTTCCTTATGTCTGATTCAGTAAGATTCAACAATTTCAAACTTAGGTCTTCTTCTCTCTGCTCTGTCCCCTTACTCGTCTAGGCCTAGATGATGGTTGTCTCATGCCTTTCGGCGCATCTCAGAAACCCTAGCTTTGACCAAAACCTATGCCTTTGAACAAGCACAAAATAACATTAATCAATTAGTTTAACTAGTAAAATACTTAGCTGTTTATTAACCAATTTTTCCATTACTTTCTCTCTCTCTCTAAGATCAGATATTCTGAAAAGGGGTTTTAGGGTTGATGACAGGGGATCATAAGCTGCGCCACATGGTTTTTATATTAGTCAAATGGAGACAGGGAAAGGGGCCTCTCTTTGCTTTTTTGGGTTTTATTAAATTTTTAGGGTTTGTGGGGACCCCCTTGATTTGAGGTTAGGGCCTGGAATTGTCCCTGCTTTAGTTCTTGATGTGGAAATCATGTCGGCCATGAAGATCCTGTTCACTCTAAGTATAAAGTATATTTCATCTTATCTCTAGAGAGAGAAAAAGAGAGAGAGAGCAGGGGTTTACTCCTTTAGAGATTGGGGTGGCAATGGAGCCGACTAGACCCGGGATCCGATGGGTGAAACTCGTCTAGATATGAATTTAAATTTTAGACTCGAAAGGTAAGTTACAGCTCAAAACCTAGATCCAAATACTATTTAGGTATGGGTTCAGCCGGACAGGACCCATTCCCACCTCTAACTAGAGAGAG